AATCTGAGGATCCACAGAGTAACAATATGAGCATGGACCAAGCAAAATCACGATCAGAAAACCGTGAGCCACCAACCTTCCTCCTCCCGTGTCTGTTTACAACGGTTACCTTACCGGGCACCTGGCGCAGAAAAATGATGTCATCAAAAGGCACACTAAGCAGCGTCCTGTAAATATTTTAAATTAACATTTTTTAACTTGTATGTATTTTTAAATCAAATTATTATTGTCACTCATTAATGTAAATGAAATATCAAATTCTCATAATACAAATAATTTCAAACTATACATAAAACAGGCATATGGCGCCTACAAAGATTAAATATGATTACAAGGTAGTTACTCAAAGGAACTCCACTTTTATAAATACAGGTTAATTATAGGATTTTATTTTGTATTTATTTCAAACCCTTACTAACTTCCAGGCAACATATTAATGTTGTTTTTTATTTGAGATGTAAAGCATAAAATGCATAAGAATTAAATTCTCAATTTAAAAGTTTAAATTAAATAACTTGTATTTGATAATCAGTTATTGTAAGTTCTACTTTTGGACGATCAGTACATTGGAATGAGGGGGGAACTCATGGTAAGAAAAATGCCCAAAGGGGTACTTAAGTCATGAAAGGTTGGGAACCACTGCATTAGACCCTCAATGACCCACTCTGCAAGTTTTCCAGAGTTGCATATAAAAGAATAGTGCTCTATGGGACAAAAAACAGCGTTCTATTCTATTTTATTCCATTCGATTCCACCTATTCTTTGTTCTACCCTTACATTTCTTATTACCAAAATATATGAGATACTAAAATGACTTCAGAGATGGAGTTAAAAAAGAGAAGGAATCCAAATGTAATCTTGATCTAACCATTATCATTATTTGTTCCAAATTGAACCCCTTGTATTCCCTTTAATCGGATTCTAGATTCTGTCAAGCCAACAATGTTTTGCACTGTCAGGCCTTAATTTATTGGAATTCCCCTGGTCTTGCACACTCTTATTTCACCTTCAAAGAGCTCTCTTTGTTCTCTGTCTTTTGCCTGTATTCTGTTCTAAGCCAGGTCAAACATTTGTCCACCTGTTTTCAATATTCTCGTAAACCTTGTTTGTTGGATGCATATACCAAACTCCAGCAAATATTCAAAGGGTGGGGTAAACTGTACACAAAGTGCTAGTCAATCACATGGCAACACAGAAGCACTCAGAACAGCCATGCATCCATACTCTCATACTCCAAGGCAATTAACAATGGCCAATTAACAAAATGCACATTCTATGATGGTGGAAGATGCATGCTCAAGGTTAACATGCAGCCTCTCTACAGATCTGACCACAAACCCTTCTGGCTGTGATATGCAGCTCCAAATCAGAAACCTAAATGCTGAAGATAATTTTCTTTAAAAAATGTAAAAAACGTAAACTAAGGAATTATGAGGATTTTACTTGTGAGAAAAATATCAGATAAAATGGAAAGTCATTTTTTATTGCTGCTATCCTTTGGTCTTTGGTAGATACCAAGCTGTTAGGGACACTGCATTCTGTGCTTGGCCTGCACTGGAGGATGATGCAGTGGGGCTGGATAAGGGGTTTGGTGCCCTGCGTTCCTTCCTAAGCCCCTCTGGCCTTGGGCCTGTTTCTGTGCCTCATTGCTGCCCTACCTCTGTGTTATGTGTATTCAGTCGGGGCACCTAGTTCTACAGCAGCTTTTAGAGAGATGACCTTTCCTTTCCTGCTCTCAGACACTGGTTTCTGCCAATTTCACTATTACAAAAATGTAGCATCTCCAGTTCAGAAATGTGCATATACACACACATAAACATACACTCACATACAGAAATAATCGACATGATTAAAAGCCTTCTATTTTATCAATGTGACATGTCAACTTTGTTGTTCAATGATGTATTGAGTGTTTAAAGCAAGTCACACGATTGAGATACAATCTTTTAATATCTGTTTTGCAGAGCCAGCATGTTCTGACATATTAAAGCAACCAGTTACTCCATATTTCATGAAACAATCTCTGGAGTGAAAAACAAGGACACTAAAGTGTTCTTTCATGGAATATGGTCGTTTTCCCAATAGCAGCTTGTTTTAGTCCTTATGATCCTGATTTTGAATATATTTATCTTGACTTTAAAATTTAAAATACCTGTTAAGCCTGTGACTTCATGACAGATAAACAATGGCTTTCTTTCCGCTGGTGAGTTTGAAGATTTTCATAAAAAAAAAAAAAAAAATCTAAAATATAATTGTACTATTCAGGGCATGTTTTTTGCATACACCTTACTGACATAATGTACAGACCTAAAAAAATAAAAAAAGCTTAGCAGCTGCTTCTGCAACAGAGGGGCAAGTCCACAGATTTGTAAACATTATACATCTGTTTATGTGCTGCTTCAGCTTGCTTCTTAATTAGCGCTTCCAAACACATTTTCTCACCTTCAAAATAAAAGTCATTGCTTGCAAGACCTGCACATAAAACCAAAAATACATATTGAACGTTTCAAACTAACAAAAAAATATCTACAGGGAAGATAGTATGAACACTTACAAAGGGGTTGAGTACCTGTATTTGAAATGCCAGCGTTAGTCCCTTTTATTATTGTATATTCATGTTTTTATAAATGAGCTTATTTTCCAATGGAAAGCTTTCATTTTTGATAATTGATAGAAACCTTCAATTTTAGCAGTTGCAATTCAGAAATGTAAACAATTTTTTCTCTATTTGTAGGTCAAATATTTTCACAGCTTTCAAGCTGTTGCCTCGTCTTCAAAAGAAGAATCTGCTTCTCTAGTTTTAGGTAAAGTCTGTTTTATTTATTTTTTCTATCCTCTGACTTTTTTAGTTTTTACAAGAAACCAAGCTAATATAGAGATTCAGGCGATAACCATCAATGCTACCCCAAGCACATGTTTTTCAAAGTATTCGCTCTCTTCTCTTTGCACTGTGAGGTAATTAAGCTCAGTGTTGAACATTGGGCAGGCTGCTGGGAGAGCTGTGACGGATGGCTCACTATTACTCATCTATCACAAATTCACCAATCAGTGCCAGTCCGTATGTTTGTGTGTGAGTGTGATCACCTTGTATGTGGGCTTGTTCACTTGCAAGCTTGGTCATTTATTCTGATAATGACCTGCTCTGGCTGCAGAAGCACACTTTGATTGATGCTAGTTCTTGTATTGCAGTGACCCCCTTCCTTTCTCTAGGCTGTGTGCTACCTTTAAAAGATTCTGCACAGCAGCTCAGGGAGATCAGAGAGGTGTGCTACGAGGGTAAAAACAGGAAGCGCCAACTAAGCTGGACTCCACAGATCCGCAAGTCCGGGGATCAGACCGTCTTCTCTGTCTACAAAGGTGTAAAGGCTTTTGACCTTTGTCAGAAGGACGGTTTGCTGGTGACTGGAGGCATGGACAGATTAATTCGTCTGTGGAACACACGTTTTTCAGAGTAAGGCAGCTGACTTCAACTGTTCTTTTCCTGAGACAAGCATTGTTAGATTGAAAATTTAATTTACACCTCCACCTACTGATTTAGTTTATTTCTACTTAGGAAACCTGATGGTATTTTAAAAGGCCACTCTGCTCCCATCTTCTCCCTCTGCATCTCATCAGAGGACAGTCAGATCTTTTCTGTCTCCACAGATAACACAGTGAAGGTGATTCATGTTTTTCTCTGTAATGATATCAATCATTGTATCTTAAACATCTAACACATTTTTTTTTAGATCTCTTGCAACAACCCAGTAGTTATAAAACACTATCTTGACATTAGTATGAATTCTACCTCTCTTCTTTTAACCTGAGTGATATTTTTCAAAAAACTCTTAAGCCTTGATTTTTTTTTGTATTTTATAACAGCAACGCTATGCAGACTTCCATTTATTATTGAGGAGAAACAAAAATAAAGAGGTATATAACTGGGGAGATGAATAAAATTCATTTTTCTTTTCTTTCTTCACAAATAAAAATTCTTAAGTGGGACTTTTGGCATTGGCATCTAGCTCTCTTAAGTCAA